GGGACACTCGCTTTTGAAATCCCCGCGAAACCTAAGGTCATTGAATGACTTCGGCATGCGCGCGCGACCGACCCGCGCGCGGGACTTCGTCCCATTTGTTGCAACGAATTCTCGCGACAGCACGCGCGCAAGGGCGTTCGAACGATTTCGACATGCGCGAGCGCGCGAAGCCCGTTTGGTAGCATGCTGAGAAATGAATGGTTTCCCAAAGAATTCACAAGAACGCGCGCGCAAGTTTTTGTTTGAGAATCCGTGTGCCAGAACCATGTGGTTTTTATATGTTGTTGGACACTCGATTTTGACATCCGTTCGAAACCTCAGGTTTTGGAAGGATTCGGCATGCGCGCGCGACGACGCGCGCGTGTGCACTTCGTCACAGCGGGTGCACAGGACTTTGGGAAACTGCTGATTTTTGAAAAACGAGAGCGCGCATAGTGTATGTTGCATAGGACGGCGCGGGGGTCGATACCGGCTGGGCTGGAATGTTGTGAGTCCATATTTAAGATGGACGATCAGGCAGAATCATGTGTACATTGCAGTACGGTGAACCATTAACCCTGGGCGGGGTAGGTCCTATTTCTCTTCTAGGGAAAAGAAGATTTACGTGGTGCCATCTATGTTGCGCAATGCACGTGGTTCAATTTATGCTGAGCAGTCTACGTGGTGCAATCCATAGTGCGCAATATATGTGGAGCAACCTATGTGGCGACAGCGACGCGGCGACGAGGCGACGACGGCAGCAACATAGCCGCCAAACCAGCAGACAGGCCCAGACGACGGACGGCCGAAGCGGCGACGGGGCGGCGACGGCGGCAACATAGCCGCCAGACGGGCAGACAGGTCCGGTTCCTTTGAGATGAAGTTAGAACCCTAAATGCAAGCACCCTTTGGGGATTCTATATATACATATATATATACACATCTGTATTTTTATATATATATATATACTAGAACCATCGCGGGCGCTTCGCGCGCGCTCAAGTTCTAGCTAGGATCCTCGTAATCGTCACCATCGCCATCCTCATCGCCATTCTCATCGATATCGTGGATATCGCCGTCAGCATCATCATCACCATCATCATCGTCACCTTCGACATCATCATCGTCATCATCAGCATCTTGTGGGGCTTCCAGGAAAGTGCTCGAGGGCCCATTCGAGTGCTGCTGGACAGGCGCTTTGGGACAGATGTTGCGTGCGGGGAGCGGAAGCCTGAGGAATCATGTTATCGGAGAGCTTTCTGGTAACATTATGGCGCGTATGAGGGCCCAGTGGGGGGCTGCCCGGCAAGAATTTTGGGACGCATGGTTGGGGCCTGGGGCGGAAGCCTGAGGAATCATGTTCCCGGAAGGCTTCCTGGGAACATGATTTGTTGGGGTGTCGTTGTGCACCTCCGGAGGCTTCGGGGCCTGACGCGTTTCCGAACGTGGCGTCAGGTAGCGCTGCTTGGGACTCTCGTTTTTTTTCCTGGCAGGCGTTTAGGGAACATGGTTTGGGCAGAAGGCGGCACCCCGAGAATCATGTTCCCGAGAAGCTTTCCGGGAGCATGATTTGTTCGGCTCTCTTAAGAGGGGGGCCTCTGGGGGCTCACCGAGGGGCACTTTTTGGCCTTGTCGGCAAGCCTATTGGAAACATGGTTGGGGCGGTGGGCGGAAGCTCAAGGAATCATGTTCCCGGAAAGCTGTCTGGGAAATACGATTTACCGAGGTTTCTTGGGGGCCCGCAGGGGGCTTCCCTGGGGGCCCCTTGGGGGCCTGTTGGGGCTTCCGGGGGGCCTCTTGGGAGCCTCGCGGGGCTTCCTTGGAGCCTCTTGATGGCCTCTGGGGGCGTCCTAGGAGCCTCTCAGGCTGGAGACCTTGAAATGTCGCGCTCTTCGGGGCCTCCTGGGTCGCTCTTGGGGCTCTCTTGGGGCGCTCTCGAGGTCCTCTTGAATTATCTGGGGAGCCTCCTGAGCCGTCTCTGGGCTTTCTTGGGAGCCTACTATTCGGCCGTCTTGGAGCGATCTGAAGGGCCTCCGACGCCGTCCGCGACCGTGGGGAGGCGGAACATGCGAGGGCGCAAAAATGCTTTAAAAAACATCGGACAATTTATTATTTTCGGCTTCTGGGGCCCTTTGGAGGGGCCTCTGGAGGCGCTCTTGGGGCGTTTTGGCGGCGTCGTCGGCCGTCCTGAGGCCATCTGCGGCATGTCTGGGGCCTCTTGGGGCTGTCTTGGCAATATTGAGGGCCCTCTTGGCAAGTCGTGGCGTGTTTGGGAGCGGGCCCGAGCAGTCCCGGGAGCCCTGGGACCCCCCCAATCCCCTCATATGGGGGGGTACGGCACCGGGCCGGGCCCCTCCCGGCCCCTTCTTGGAGCCGTCTTGGGGACCTCTTGGGCCGTCATGGGGGCCTCTTGGATCGTCTTGGGGTTGTCTTGGGCCGTCTTGGGAGCGTCTCAGGCCGTCTTGGGGCGGTCTTTGGGGCCTCTTGGGCGGTCTTGGAGCGTCCGGTCGCCGAAAAGGCGAGAATCCGAAAAACCTTCAAAAACCATTGAAACATCAATGAATGTTGCCTCTTGGAGCCCGCCTCTTGGAGGCCTCTTGGCGCGTTTTGGAGGCCACTTAAGCCGTTTTGGGATCATCGTGGGCGTCTTGGAGCGATCTTTGGGCGTCTCGTGGCCTTCTTAGACCATATGGGGGGCCTCCTGGGCCCGTCTCCAAGCTGTTATGGTCCGTTTGGGGGCCGTCTGGGAGCCCCTGGGGACGGCCAGGGGAGGGAACCACGCATATACAAGGGGGGTCGCTGCCCGGGGCCCGGGGCCCGGGATCTCCCATATATGTGTGTGTATATATATACATATGTACAATACATGCCAACATAGATACGTCGACACTGCCGGCGTGTGTGAGACGTCTTTCCCGTCGCCGCTCCTCCTCAAGCGACCCAGCCAAATGAAAATCGAACAACGTCGTGATCGAGCCGAACAGAACTCTTCCTTCTGATCCCTTCCCTGCGCTGGATGGGATCCCGAGGGGGGGTCGTCGGGTCGCATGCGGTGGAAATCCCAACCGACTGGGTGTAGTCCCATCCAATTGGGGGTATTCCAACCAGCGAAAACGACAAACTGGAAGACCATATGTTGCAATTGCACGCGTAACCTCTCACTATGATTTTATGTGTGAAGCATCATGTATTCCTGATCGGGGGCGCAACAAGACTGGCCCAGTTGGAATTACACCCAAAACGCGGTGATGTGGACCTCACGATGCTGATCTGTGTTGCGGTGTGTGCGACTTGTGTGGTGTGTGCGGTGTATGCGGCGTGTACGGTGTCCGCTGTGCGTGCGGCGTGTGCAGTGTGTGTGTGTGTGTGTGTGTGCTGCGTGTGCGGTGCGTGGGGCGTGTGCGGTGTGTGCGGTGTGTGCTGCGTGTGCGATGAGCACGGTGTGTGCGGTGGTGCCGTGCTGTATGGTGCACTCTCTGATATATCATATGGCACTGGCTTTGACGTACAAGATGATGCGAGCTGATCGTCGTCATCAAATGTATGACGCGGCAGATGGGTACACGTATGATGAATCATATGTTACTGTATATGATGCGCCATGTGGTACGACCTATGTCGTGTCACATGTTACTGCAGATGGTCTCGTACGATGGTACTAAACATCACGTACCACATGATGTATCATATGGTATCACCTGTGACGTACCATATGGTACCATCTGTGACGTACCATATGGTAACGCAGTGATATCGGGTAACACATATGCTGTTTCATGATGTGCTGCTAATGCTATAGCTAATTCTGCGGTGTACGACCAACCACCTGAGGTTTCCCATGATGCATCACATGACGCTCCATACCATGTGCCACCCGATATTAACTATGATTCGCCACTTGAAGAAACATATGAAGTCTCATATGGTACCATGTGCGGTGTAGACGGTGCTACATCATACAATGCATTATATGGTGCCACCTAAACGGTGGCATACGCTTTTATGTGTGCGACGTCATATGATACAACCTATGTCGCATGGAACGAAGCCAGCTGGCATGCATCGTGTGGTACTACCAATGGCATATCGCTTGAAACCACATATGACGTATCATTATCATGTGTGGGAAAGGGGAGACACAAATGATAAGAGGGATCGAAGGCTTCGTAGAGATAATAAGGTTGGAGGGAGAACAGAGGTAGGAGGGCTAAGAGAAATACTAAGGATTGGAAGGATCAGCGGGTTAGGAGGGATAATGAAGACTGATCAGGTCTGCGGCTTCCCGACGCTCCAAGACGACCCAAGAATCATTGGGTTTCTTGAAGAAGCCCCCAAGATCGCCCCAAGACGGCCCATGAGGCCTTCAAGGGAGCCCAAAAATGGCCCAAGATGGCCCCAAAACGTCGCAAGAGGTCTCCAAAACGGCCCAAGAGGCCCCCATGATGGCTCCAAGAGGGGGCCCCCTCGAGGGACCCGAAGGGACATTTCGCGCCACCTCCCCCCCCCATGGGGGTGGCCCAGGGGGTCGTGACACCCCCTCCTCTCCGACCAAGACGGCCCACGCGAGCCCCACAGAGCCGCAAGAGGGGGAACGCCAATCGAATCGAAGGGGGGGGGGGGCGGTCCCTGGACGGGATCGCCAGGGGCGGTCCCCGGAGGGGGTCCAGGGGAACGTGCCCCCACGAGGGCCCCGACGAGGGCTCGCGAGCTTTGTCGTCGTCCCCGTCGTCGTCGTCGTCGGCGTCGTACACACATATACAGGCGTTGTACTCCCTGGCCGGCTGATCCAAGGCTGCGAGTTCTAGGGCGGGACACGCCTAGATCAATTACCACGAGCTTTTGCCAGTGGATGGTCACGACGTGGCTAACGCGTGAAACACACACACACACACACATTCACAAGTATACATTTTGCTCGTGTGTGTGCATCCAGCAGTCTGCCCTTCCCATCTATTCGTCCGCAATGCCGCCTGCGCGCTCGTTCACATGCTCACTATATCAAATGACCCATGCAAGCACGCCTGAAGGGCTGTACTCGAGCTTGAAATGGCTCCCCTGTGGGACGCCTTCTAGTTCCTGGCACGAATGTCACCTGGCTATTGAAGGCGGAAAGGGCGCGAGAGAAGGGGGAAGAGACCGCGATAATGAGGAAATGCAATCCATCTGTCACGCCGTGCTAGTCACCCACCTTTCGGAATACGTTCCACCTCCATCCGTGATGCGTTCAACTATTTCCAATCATCTACTCCACTATTGGTGATCTCCTTGTAGTCGAAAGCTGGTGAAGCCGTCACGGTGAATACCAGTATCGATTCTGCGCATTGAGATGAAAGACAACAGGAAGAGAAGAATGACTGCTTGTGCTTCCGTGGGTGGTAACACGTGTTCCCCAGGGGGGCGGGGGAACGCGGAGGGAACTGTAACGGCGGTCGTGGTGCGCACTCCTCAGTTCACCTCTGCAGCACCAGCACACCAGAGTCCCCCGAACACACTCTCACTCACGTGGTGATCATCCTCCCTCTTCCGCCTTCCCCTCACAGACATCCCTCCTCCCTCCTCCCTCCCCCTCCTTCCTTACACACACACACACTCCCCCTTCCCACACACACACACACACACACATACACACACACACACACACGCACGCACGCACGCACGCACGCACACACACACACACACATCCGTCCTCCTCCCGCCTCCTCCTTCTCGTCATCTCCTCATTTCACCTTCTCCCTCCCCCTCCCCCCCTCACACACACACCCGTCCCTCCTCCCCATACGCAGACAAACAAACATACTTCATCGATATTCCTTCTCGCACACGCACGCGCGTTCACACGATGAGCGTCCTCCCTCCCTCCCTCCTCCCTCCTCCTCCCTCCCCCCTTCTCCTCCTCATCCTCCTCATCCTCCTCCTCTTCCTCCTCTCCTCCCCCTTCTCCTCCTTCTCCTCCTCCTCCTTCTCCTCCTCCTCCTCCTCCTCCCACTTTCCAAAGTACAGAATGGAACGCGGCGAGGCACCGCGCGTCTGCGAGGTAGCCTGCGAGGCGAACGCGTGTCGCGTGGCTTGTGACTAATGGAACTACCCTCGTGAAGGACGGAGGATGGGAAGAGGCCCCTCTCTCCCACCCTCCCACCCCACACATGCACATCCTCTCTCAACATCATGGTGCCCTCCGCCTTCTCCTTCTCATCCTCCTCCTCCTACTCCTCCTCCTTCTTCTCCCCCCCTCCTCCTCCTCCTCCTCCTCCTCCTCCCTCGTGGCAACCACATGCGAGAATGGTAACATGCCTGTGAGCACCCCCCTGCGCTTGAAAGCAAGGCGAGGCCCCTATCACGCCAGGTGCGCCAAGGCAAAGCACGGGCGCGTACACTCACGCACGGCAGCGGCGGCAGCGGCGGCGGCGGCGAAGGCAGCAGCGGCAGCGAAGGCAGCGGCGGCAGCGGCAGCGCACAGCGACTGCGGGGGCGACGGTCGCGGCCGCCGCCGTCGCCGCTCCCAGGGGGGCGGCACCTCGCCGCCGAAGGTGCCCCGCATGCTGGCGGTGCGGCCAGAGCAGCTCTGGTAACAGAAGGCGCCATCCTGGAGCCCCGACTTCCTCGGCGGCACGCCCTCCTCCGCTTCCTCCTCCTCCTCCTCCTCCTCCTCCTCCTCCTCCTCCTCCACCTCGTCCTCATCTTCCTCCCCCACGTCCTCCACGTCCACCTCCACCTCACCGACGTTCCCATCATCCTTCCTCCAATCGTCCCCTTCTCCTGCTACTAATCCTCCCCATCCTCCCTCCCCCTCCTACTCCCGTTCCTTCTCCTCCACCTACTCCTCATCGTCAGCATCACCATTCGCAATCCCCACCGCCAACACTGCCATAATCATCGCCACCATCACCATCAGCATAATCATCATTATCATCATCATCATCATCATCATCATCATCATCATCATCATCATCCTCATCATCCTCATCATAATCACCACGACCACCATCACCACCACCACCATCATCACCATCACGACCACCACCATCATCATCATCAGCAACATCATCATCATTACTTCAGCATCATCATCATCATCATCATCATCATCATCATCATCATCATCATCATCATCATCATCATCATCATAATCATAATCATCACCATTATCACCCACATCGTCATCATCATCATCATCATCAGCATCACCATCATCAGCGTCATCAGCGTCGCCATTCTCTGCCATAACAGCATAGTCATCCTGAAAAAAAAACTCATCATCATCAGCATCGTCGTCGTCAACAGCATTACAGTCATCCTGAAAAGAATCCTCCTCCTCATCATCATCATCATTATCATCATCATCAGCATCATCATCATCATCATCATCATCATCATCATCATCATCATCATCATCGACATCATCATCATCATCATCACCATCATCATCAGCATCATCATCACTGCATCATCACCAGCATCATCATCCTCACTATCAGCATCATCATCAGCATCATCAGCGTCGTCAGCATCAACCATATCATCATAGACATCCTCAAAACAACAATCATCATCATCATCATCAGCGTCGCCGTCGTCAACAGGATTACAGTCAACCTCAAAAGAATCCTCTGCATCATCATCGACATCATCAGAATCATCATCATCACCATCATCATCATCATCATCATCATCATCATCATCACCATCACCATCACCATCACCATCATCATCACCATCATCATCATCATGATCATGATCATCATCATCGCTACCATCCTGGCCCTAGCAGCCCATGCAGGACAGAGGCCTGCTAATCCCGCACGCCTCCGCGGGCCGTACTGCCCGTACGGGTCGCTCTCCTGCGCCAATGGATGCTTCATCTTTGCATTGCAGTCATACCGCAGTTCTGGTTCGCCCTCCGGCTCCTCAACCCCTGCTCCTCCTCCTCCTCCTACTCCTCCTACTCCCCCTACTACTGCTCCCACTTCCTTCCCTCTTCTTCATTATCCATCCTCCTCCTCCTCATCCTCATCCTCACTATCAGCATCAACAGCATCAACATCAGCATCAGCAGAAGTCATCATCATCAGCATCAGCATCAGCATCAGCATCAGCATCATAATCACCATCATCATCATCATCACCACCACCACCACCACCACCATCATCATCATCATCATCACAGTCATCACCATCATCATCATCGTCATCACCATCATGCTCATCATCCCCATCATCGCCATCAGCAAAATCACCATCAACACAACCACCACGATCACCATCACCATCACCACCACCACCGCCATCATCAGCAGCATCAGTATTACCACCATCATCATCATCATCATCATCATCATCATCATCACCATCACCATCACCATCATCATCATGTTAAGCATCAGCATCAGCATCAACAATATCAGCATTACCAACCTCAAAACTACCACCACCACCATCACCACCACCACCACCACCACCATCATCATCATCATCATCATCATCATCATCATCATCATCATCATCATCATCATCATCATCATCATCATCATCATCATCACCATCCTAATCCATCGTCCTCCAACCTCCTCCACCTTCTACACTTTCCTGGTCCTCTCAATCGTCCTTATTGTCCTCCTTCTCCTCCTACCCCTTATTGTCCATCCTCTCTTCTCCGCCTCATCCGTCATCCTTGTCGTCCAACCCCGCCTCCATCCTTGCTTCCTTTGGATAACTCCTCCCTTTTGCACGAACAGACGTGTCCGTAGGCCGGGCAGGGCGAAGCTTCGAGCCCCCGATTGTCACACAAATGGAGGACCAATCGTGTTCAATATGTGTATCTCGCCTCAGCGCGGCGCGCATTCGTCTTTAAATCTTCCAGACGTTACACGGATGGAGGGCCGGCCGTTTTCGAAAATGATTCTCGCCGTAGCGCCGCGCGGATTCGTCAACAAAATATGCCCCAATTGTTACGCAGATGGAGGCTGGCACGATTTCAAAATGCGATCATTGCACATTTGCCCCAGCTGCGCGGATGGAGAACGGTTCCCAAACTGAGGCTCTCGCCTAAGGCGCCGTGGGTGTTTTGATGGAAAGGCACATACGACGTGAAGAGCGGCCGCAGCGATGCAGGACGGCTCCTCTTGCAAGACGGGGCTGTCGCCGGGCACCTCCTTGGAGCCCGTCGGCCCCGCACTGCCGCGTGCCTCAAGAGAAGAGGCTCGAAGGATGGTCGGCCGTTGCCTTCCAGGGGCAAGTCCCGCTGGAATCACAGGCCCGTGGGGCGCCCGTCGTGCAAGGAAGGTCCTCCGCGCAGGGAAGGCGGACACCTTGTGGGGACTGCAAAGGAGGGAAACTGGGACGGAAGGGTGTGGTGCAGCAGCTCCCCTCCTCCATCCCTGCTCCTTATGATGAACTCCTCCCTGTCGCACTCCGAGGCGTGTTGGTCGGGCGGGCATTCCGCCTGAGACTGCATGATCCTCAACTTTGATACTTGCAACGACTTGACAGATGGAGGCGGGCGGTGCCTCTCGCCTCAGCGCCGCGCACATTCGTTCCGAGAGGTCGCAAGAGCTTCACAGATGGAGGGCGACTCCTTTTCAAAAGGTGGCTCTCGCCTGAGTGCCGCGCACAATCGTCTCAAAACTTGCAGAAGTTTCACGGGTGGAGGGAAGCTCCGTTTCAAAATGTGGCTCCCGCCTTAGCGCCGAATGCATTCGTTTCAAAGTTTGCGGAGCTTCACGGGTGGATGGCGGCTCCTGACATGGTGCTTTGGGATTGTGTAGGCACGTCTGGGCTCAACAGGTACCTCCATTCGCTGAGCTGAAGTCCCAGGAATGATGTTCTGGCACGGTTGACGATCGTCAACGCTGATTCGCGGCGTTGACACCCCAAGAATGGTGCTCGGGCACTGCTCAAGATTTTCAAGCGGTTATCTGCGAACGGAACATTTTCCTCAATGAACATGACACAGTTTGGAGACCTGTAAAGGGGGGACTTGTGAGGAGGTGTTAATTGATCGGTCTTGGGTTACACTGGTCCTCCTCCTACTTCCCATCCTCATCCTCATCCTCATCCTCATCCTCATCTGCGCCCTGCACCTCATTACCCCGCCTCCTCCATCGCCCCCTTCCTCCTCATCCTGCTCGTACCCCTCCGCCTCCGTGTACGTCTCCTCCTTCTCTTCCTCCCTGTTCCTCTCCGCCTGCTCGTCCTCCTCATCGTCCCTCCTCCTCCTCCTCCTCATCTTCCCTCCTCCTCCTCCTCCTTCTCATCCTCCTCCTCCTGCTCCCCCTCTTTCTCACCAAGTGGCAGGCGTCCCATGGACATGCACGGTGGGGCGCCTGCACGATCTTCGGGATTAATGGGGTCTCTGGGGTCATGGCGGAAACTCATGCGCCCATCTCAGAGCGAAATTGCACTGAAAAGTAGGAAATGCCAACACCAGGCGAAAACTACAAGAAAGTAACGAGTTTCGCTTCTCGGCGGCGGTCAGCAAAAGATATTGCGGCCTATCCCGGCACATCGTGGGGCCTCATGGGTCGTCTCCCAGCCCCCCTAGGCACCAAGACGTCCTTCGCAAGTCAGATGAAAAGGCATGTTGATGAAGGGGGCAGACTGGGGGGTAGACCAGGCGGTGGGCGAGGGTAGGGGAAGCCGACGTCACAGCATGGACATGACACTAAGAACCATACATGCAAGAGCTCTGAACTGCCTGATCTCTAACATGCCTGAACCCTGATGCCTGTACATCATGAAAGCTCCACTTCGCCGCACGGAGTGATCCTGCAGTGCCATGTGCCAACAGTTAGACGGGTCGAGGGCGGGTAGTCTTCAAAAATGGCCTCTCGCCTTGGTATCCTGCACACTTGTCTCGGAGTCCCCTAGCATTGTGCACATGAGGGCGGGTAAAGTTCAGAATGGCGCTCGCGCCCTACAGCTGCGCATATTGGTTTGAATAGGCTGGAGGACGACTCATAAGTATATAGTGTGAGAGGGAGACACAGAGAAAGAGAGAGAGAGAGAGAGAAAATAAAAAAAGAGACAGATGGAGAGACAGAGAGAGGGAGATAGCGAGAAAGAAAAAAACAAAAACACAAAAACAATAAGAAAGAAAGAGAGAGAGAGAGAGCGATAATATGAACACATAAAGAATAAGAGAAAGCGACGGAGAGAGAGAGAGAGAGAGCGATAGCAAAAGAGAGAGAGAGAGAGAAAGCGCGTTTCGGATTCGATTGCCTCAGGGAAATCCCAAACGCAAGCGGGGTCTCCGAAACCAGGGGCCACCCCCACCCCCTGCCTCCCGCACTCGCCGCCGGCAACCGACGATGACGACGACGACGACGACGACGACGACGACGACGACGACGACGGCGAAGACGACACCAGCGAAGACGGTTCGGGCTGCCGCCTCAGGGACCGGCCTGGCGGGACACTGCAGCGGGCGGGTCGGACGGGCGGGCTGGGCGGGTGGGCGAGACGGAGGGGGCGCCGTCGTCGCTTGCCGGCGCGAAGGAGGGAATGGAGGAGTTGGAGGACGAGAAAAGGAGGAGGACGAGAAAAGGAGGAGGAGGAGGAGGAAACGAAGGAACCGATGAGGAACAATCAGACGGGAGAGGGGTGCTCACGTTCCTGAGTTGTTTTCTTCCACGGGGGGGGGGGCGCAGCCCCCAGGACAGGCCCCCCGAGAGGACCCCTCCGTGGAGGGGCTGCTTCCAGGGGGGGTCGCAACCGGAAATGGGACAACATATAACCGAGCGATACGGATCCCAATCATATCAAGCCCAGTCTTACCGCCGCGGGAAGTCTTTGAAGGAACGTTGACGGATCCTTGAGCTATCTCTTAGGAATCGTTGGAGGACCGCTCACAAATTGACCGGGGACCCCTGCGAGACCCTTGCAGAATCACAGATATCTTCTCACATGATCACGGAAATCCTCAAGGGACAAGTGCGTGATCCTGAAGCACTGCGGGGACATCACAGGAGCCCTGAGATTTCCAGCAAGGATCCATGGGGTATCCTCACAGGGTCACTGATATATTCTTACAAGATCACCGAAGCATCCCTGCAAGATCACAGGGGGGAAATCCTTACACGACTCCTGGGATATCCTTACATATGTTCCCTGACATAAATCGCACATAACTATAGTTATAATGCGGCGCCAAACTGCGAATCGAATGGCACCGAACTGCGGCTACCATGTGAAACAAGTGATTTTTCGATGGATCTATACGGTATCAAACGGGGAACCAATAATATCCAGCGTGGACCCCAAACAACAAGTCACTGCACAGTGGAAGCGCAAGCTTTGTAGTGCAAGCAATGTGGTGCAAACTATGCGGTGACATCTATGTGGCGCCAGCTACGTGTAGTAAGCTCAGTGGTGCAACCTGCGTGGTGCCAACTATGTGGTGTAAGCTACGTGGTGAGGCGGCATCGAGACGGCAACGGGCGGCACAGTGGTGAAACCTCGCCGTACCCACCCAGCGCAAGAGGCGGCCACTGGCGGCAACGCAGCGGCACCTCGCCCTACACACCCAACGCTAAGGGCGGCCACGAGGAGGCTACGGGCGGCAACGTGGAACATCCGCACCGGACTTAGCTGGTAGCCTTAGTGCTTAGTGGGAGAAGTGACGAAACACCTAATGCTCGGCGACTACAGCGGGTGCGGTTTGCGAAAGGTGCGGTTCGCCTCCCGTCATATCTGCCCCTCCCGCCCCCGGGAAACGGACGACACTGTCACCCACCGCGACCGAATCACATAACACTCTCGCTCCTTCTAGTACAGTGGAGCATACATCGAAGATGACAGTGTCGCTCGAAAGCGGCGACAGTTATGACACTGTCTCTCACAAGGGCCCCGGAAAGGCCACCAGTGAGCAATTCGCAAACCGCACCCTGGCGTAACCGCACCGATTGTAGTCGCCGAAGTGCAACCAATGTTTGGGGGACAATAGGCATGAAACCACGATTTTGCTAACGTGTGTAACCAGCCTACGTTTCGCATGACACATGGACGGCGCTCATGCGGAAACTACAAGTTTGCCGTAAGGGAATATTGAATGCGCAAGTGGTCGCTGCAGAATGTTTCGTACAACGCCTGAACATATTCCGTGCGGAACCTACACGAATCTTGCGCGACGAGCCAGCAACTCCAAAATGCAGGTTACAAAGACCACGCGCAACATTTGCATCCCCCAAATGGAAGCAATCGAACTCTCGCTTGAATGAAGAACATCTCGTGCAATTCCCGGGTGGGGGCTCTCTGTTTCTTGATTGAAGGCCATAGGTACGTCCTGAAACACCTAGATGTATCGTACAGGAAACCATATACGTATCATGAGAGATCCATACACGTATAACACGGAACCACTACACGTATCGCTTCCATTCTTCGCTGCCCGCATACGAATCAGAAACAGCTGCGAGAAAACGTAACAGACGACTAGAACAAACGATATTTGTCTCATTAGCAAGGTTTACAATTTCCACTGGACCCCTGCCGAATCTCCAATGCCAGGTGTGCAGCCTCCCGAAAAGTACAATCCAACACGCCTCTCATATGGCACTGTCAGCTACCACTTCGCAACTACACCGATTTTTTTATTTGAAAGCCTTCTAAGTTTGTGCCCATTGCAATGCCCTTACGCCAGCACATGGAACCACGCGGCATCTGGCAATCTCCCTGCGAACACTAAACAACAAAGGTCTGAACACGATGTTCTCTCATGCCAAAAAAAACCGGCTCATGCCAGTGCACCACGCACATTTCCTCGTTGGACGTACAATCCGATGATGACTGCATGCGCTTTTGGTACGAATGCTAACCATTTTCTTTGTGAAGGTTACACAACTAACATATGACACCTGTTCAATCTTCCAACAAAGTCAACACATGCGAAACGCGCGCAGCTATAAGATGACAGCTGTGCAACCCGTACGCGGACACTATGGAACCCCTGTGGTACATGGTCGCTGCTCATTTGCAGACTACACAACTCGCACATGGAACGACGTAAACTGGTACCGGATCCGACCTTGGGGTACTTATGTTGCTTCCCAAACCAAGTGTCTACGCTCGAGGGCTTCACGCCGCAGCACCCACTTGCTAAAGCGACTCGTATCAGAGATGGGAGAAGCGGAGGCTTCGCCGCACCGATGGCCCCCCATCGTCAGATTTTGGGAAATTGAAAGGAGGGCGGGCCCGACGCGGCTCAAAAAGAAGGGGGCAGACAGCTACCGGGCGATGCGCTGCGGCACTAATGGGGCCGAAGCCGCAAAACCCGAAAAGCGCGCGCACCCCCCTATGACTTCATTCTATTATTCCTCTTGCGGGGAACGATTCCCTGCAATGCGCTCGCTGGCCAAAGCAACTCAAATCCAAGATGGGGGCGGCGGAGGCCCCGAGGCAATGAGCGCAGAACGCGAGCGGCGCCCAACACCGCGAAAGCGACGGCCTTCTGGAAACGCCTTGGGGCCAGCCCAGGAGCCAAAAGAACGAGCGGGCGACGCGGGCGGCCGTCTTGCGCGCGTTCGCCCGGGCACTCGGGGCCAACGCGGCAGCGATCGGAAGACTGGATCGCGCAGATTCACGCAATGACTGGGGCGCTGGCTCGGCCCCCACATCTGCGCGCGCGAGACAGGCGAACGGCGCAGTCCGGAAATTATGGAAGCTCCTCGCTGGCATCGCAATCGCCGGTGAACGGGGCAACGATCACAGGCGACCGGCGTTCGACCGCGCTAGCAACCAGCCTTCGACGGCCGCGAAGCGATTCAGAACAATGAAGCGACGCGCACAAGGCAGCACTTCGGTTCTCGTAGAGATACGGCCACACGCTGGACACCGATCCCGCAGTCAGATCCGAAGGGGCAACATGCCTCACCTCGGAAAGTGCCCTGCCGGGAACATATGAAGAAACGCGAAGCACTCGCCAATCGCGAGCGCGAGCAAGCGCCGCTCGTTCAGCGGCAGCTGGAAGCGGGCCTTGCCACCGTGAGGCCGCGCAACAAGATCGCCGCGAATCTCCCCTCGAAGCGCGCGCGGTCCTGCAGCCGCCTCGGGCGAGGGGCCCGCGCGCCGGGCCATCTCGCACCCTTCTCGCGCCGCGCGACTGAGCGGTCGGCCCTCCAGCCCCCCTGCTGCTTGAACTCTGCTTGCGTTCGCGCGGCAGAGGCCATGTCCGAGCTTGCGCCACCGCTGCGCCTAGAATGATGCAAAACGAAGCCGAAGCCCAACTCTGTCGCCAGCCCCTACGCGGCGGCCGCCAGCTGCGGGCGCGCGCAGGCACGCGCGCGCTGCGCCCCAGGGGGCATGGCCCGAAAGGCGTCCGACATGGGAGCCAGCTGGGGCCGCCGCTTGCGGTCGAGCTCGATCGCCACGTCGAACTCCTCCGCCTTGTAAGGCGCCCCCGCGGACCCGGGGTCGGGATGCGCTGTCCGCGGGCGGCCGCTCGCGAAGGGGGCGCGGGCGCTCGGGCCGCAGCGCCATCGACTGGACCGGTCCGGCGCGCGCGCTCCACATCAGGTTTTGGAAGAAGCCGAGTCGCAACGACAAGAGCAACCGGGCCATTCACCGCGGCGCGCCAAATGGGCCACGCCTCGGGCAAGCGAGACCTCGACCCGCCGCCCCTTGAGCGCGCGCCAGACGGGGGACAAACTGCAGGGACTGTTTATGTTGCGCCACCTTCCCGGCTGGGCGCGGGCCACGCCAGCCAGCAGCCTCGCCCCGCGAGCCGCATGCGCACCGCGCCGGATCCGGTAGCCCATGGCCCCCGCGAGCAGATCGTCGAGGTCCTCCGCGGGACAATCCAGCAGCTCCTGGACATGTGCGCGCTCGATGAAGGCGGAGACATCCTGCGCGCACTTAGCCCCCGCCCAATCGTCGGGGGGGGCGGCCCCTCTCCGCAAGAAGCGAGGCAGATATCCTGAGCCCTCGCTCGAGGCAAGCAGAAACATCAGATGGCCATATTAGGGCGCCCATGCGACGAGAGACACCCTGAACGTCACCGGTCTCGCAAACGCAGAACGTCCTGTCTCTCGCGAACTCGGCCCATCCCTCGGCTGTCAGATGGTCGACTTGAGGCGGCGGCGAGAACCGCCAATTCGCCCGTGCGAAGAAGCCGGAACCTGCCAACTTTTTCCGCGCCAGGAAGAGCCCGTGATATCGCGTGCCCACGCGCCGAAGACCAGCGCGCTCCTGGCCCCGAGGTCGCGCGCCGAGCGGGCGCGTGGATTGGGGCCCCATCGGCGGGGGATCGCCAACGGCCTCGGCACCTCCAGCAGCAGGCGGGCCGCTCCGGGCAGCCGGTGCTGGCGGAGCGGCGCCGCGCGCACGCAGCTCAGCGCAGGTGGGGCCCCGCGTCGAAGCCTTCGCCCAATGCCAATCGGTGGTGCCAACACGCATCTGTCGTCCACGTGGCGCACGAAGTCCGGAGGTTCCTCGCCAGCGGCCCGAACCTTGACCATCTGCTCTCGCACCCAGCTGCAAATCCCGTTGCTCGTCGGATACCGATCTCCCGAGAAGCGGCAGAAGCGGTCGGTCAGCATCGGCGGACACATGCCCATGTCGTCGGGGACCGCCAGAGCCTCACCCTCGTTGGGTTGGCCTCCGCGAACATGTCCTCCCGGTATCGACAATGGTGGGGAGTATGCACTGGCCACTTGCTCACTCGACCCTGGGCATCTCGGGGACCTGGTCCCAAAACGCCACGCTCATGAACAAGTTCCTCCCCTTCGTACTTGGTGGCCACGATGCGGCCGGGAACCAGGCCGTTCAAGACTCCTGCGCCGAAAGACGCGCGCCTGTGGCCCCGAAGCGGGCCGCCTCGACAGGAACGACCGCCATCCCGGCGGCAGCGCTGGCAGCGGCCTGCGTTCAACAGGACCCACACGAAAACCTGCGACCCGAGGACGCTCGGCACACAGACCACAGCTATCTTCAGGTCACGCTCGGAGCTACCACAACGTCTCTCGCAGACGCACCTCTCGCTGTTGAAACGACGAGCTAGGTCCTCAATCACACACGGGTGCACGACAGCCACGGGACAGGCCGCCTCCAGCTTCCGTCGGCGCCGGTGGGGCTGGAGCAGCCTGGTCCTCAGTCTCGCGAGGATGCAGCGGACCGCCGTGCAAGAATCGCTGGCCAGCGAGATCGCGAACAGCGAGACTGAGAAGGGCGAGGAAGACCCCGACCACACTCTGCGTGCGGTCTCGATCCCAGACAGCTACTAAATGATACAATTCGTTATTGATGAGACCGACGTCCCCAAACCCGCAAAGTCATTGATGTGTACGCCACCCACTTCTAGCTCGTTTTACTTCTGTGGAGAAAGATGGGGCGCGACCACATAGCTTCGCCCGATTCGGCCTCGACCGCTGTGCGAATCCAGAGGTCGCGATGCAACGCTTCGTTATTGATGAGACCGACGTCCCCAAACCCGCAAAGTCATTGACGTGCACGCCACCCACTTCTAGCTCGTTTTACTTCTGTGGAGAAAGATGGGGCGCGACCACAAAGCTTCGCCCGTTTCGGCCTCGACCGCTGTGCGAATCTAGAGGTCGCGATGCAACGCTTCGTTATTGATGAGACCGACGTCCCCAAACCCGCAAAGTCATTGATGTGCACGCCACCCACCTCTGGCTCGTTTCACTTCTGTGGAGAAAGATCGGGCGCGACCACAAAGCTTCACCCGATTCGGCCTCAACCGCTGTGCGAATCCAGAGGTCGCGATGCAACGCTTCGTTATTGATGAGACCGACGTCCCCAAACCCGCAAAGTCATTGACGTGCACGCCACCCACTTCTAGCTCGTTTTACTTCTGTGGAAAAAGATGGGGCGCGACCACAAAGCTTCGCCCCATTCGGCCTCGACCGCTGTGCGAATCGCGATGCAACGCTTCGTTATTGATGAGACCGACGTCCCCAAACCCGCAAAGTCATTGATGTGCACGCCACCCACTTCTAGCTCGTTTTACTTATGTGGAGAAAGATGGAGCGCGACCACAAAGCTTCGCCCGATTCGGCCTCGACCGCTGTGCGAATCCAGAGGTTGCGATGCAACACTTCGTTATTGATGAGACCGACGTCCCCAAACCCGCAAAGTCATTGATGTGCGCGCCACCCACTTCTAGCCCAATTGTTATTATTATCATTATTATTATTGTTCCAATTATTTTTATTGTTATTATTATTAGTATTATGATTATTCTTATTATCCTCATTCGTATTATTATCATTATTTTTCTTATTATTATTATCATTATTATTTTTATTCTTAATTGGGGCGCGACCACAAAGCTTCGCCCGATTCGGCCTCGACCGCTGTGCGAAGCAAGAGGCCGCGATGCAAACCGGGAACACCACACGAGCCAACCGACCTGCGATGCAAGCAAGCACGTGCGCTGAACCGTGTTCTGGAGACGAGCGGACGTGCCGCGTGCGGAACCAGAGAGGGCGCGAGGAGGAGGGAGCGCAGGGGAGGGAAAGGGGAAGAGAGAAGCGAGACTCCCACTCTAGATCGTGCTAGGACTCCCAGCTGAGGAGAGAGGAAGAAAGAAAGAGGACAGAGGAGGAAAGAAAGAGGGAGGAAGAGGGGAGGGAAAGGGGAAGGGAGAAGAGGAAGAGGGAGAGGGGCAGTGCATCCTGGTGTATCGGGCTGAGTGCCTTCTCCTCCAGAGTGCGTCTGTACCGTGTACTTTTGGAACGCGACTGGGCCAATGCGATACCATATTTGGTTTGGCGTTACGCTTTGTGTGCTCATCGACCCGCAACTTTTTTCGATGCCCACGACGGTGAGAGGGCAGTGCGAGACCCCCGCTCCAGATCGTGCCAGAGAGCGGTCCACGGGCAGAATCCCGGTGTGAGGGCTGAGGTAGAGGGCTGCAAATGCTGCGCGCCAGTCGGCTCTGTGGTGCCACTGGGCGGCGGTGGGTCCGTCGTGCGGTCGCACCTCCTCCTCCTCCTCCTCCTCCCTCCTCCCTCCTCCTCCTCCTCCTCCTCCTCCTCCTCCTCCTCCCTTGCCCCGGGGAAGGGCGAGGTAGGCCCTCCCCTGCCCGAGCTCGCGCGAAGAGCGCCGTGCTCTTCCGGCGTGCGCGCCTCGCGCAAGACGTTCTCGGGGCTGCTGGCCATAAAGAGCTTGGCGTGTCCAACAGCTACTCCAGATTTCGTACTAAAAGGGAGGGGGTCTGGACCCTCCAAGACAAGCCATTTCAGACCTCCCCCGTGGGAGAACCCTCCAAAACATCGTCCCCAGACCCCCCAGGCCCTCCAAGATAGCCTGGAAGAGACCCCCCCCCGAAATGAGACCCCCCTCCCTTTATTACGAAATCTGGAGTACCCATCGGTCGGCATGGAGTAGGCAGGCGTTGACAAAGATGGGGCGTCCGCCCGCCCCCGAAAGAGGACGGAAACGGGGAAGCCATTCGGCCATCGAAGCGGGAAGGCGCTCGAAGCAGATTGGAACCTGGAGATCCCAAAAATACGTACCCGCTCTCGACGACCGAGCGGCACGCGGGCGCCGACGCTGCCCCCGGGCCGCAGCCTGCTGGAGCGGCCCGCGGAGCGCGATCCGCGCAATGGCGTGCGCCGAGCTGGGGCGTAGGCGCCGTGCGGGCGCGCGCCCACGGGACCCACAGAGCGCAGCAGGCGCGGTCCGAGTGCGAAGTGAGCCGAAGCGAGGCGGTGGCGCCACGCGAGCGCCCCCCGTGCAAGCCGGAGCTGGACCCACAGAGCGCAGCAGGCGCGATCCGAGTATGGGGGGAGAACAAACCGACCTCGCTTTTGACCACCCTCGCCTCCAGGAGATGCCGCTGTACTGGTCAGGCCGCTTGGCGAGGAGGCGCGTGGTATGGCTTGGTTTTGCCTGGAAGCGAAAGCGGGGTAGGCAATGCGCGCTCGGAGAGTGCGAAGTGAGCCGAAACGAGGCGGTGGCGCCACGCGAGCGCCCCCCGTGCAAGCCGGAGCTGGACCTCCCTGCCATGGGGCGCGATCTGCGCGAGGTGTCCCGCGGCGGCAGAACAGCACCACCACGCAGCAGCCAGCACGACAGCAGGAGCAACTGCACGAGGGGAGGGAGTGGGACGAGTGAGTGAGGAAAGGAGGGCTCGGCGCTGCTGAGGGGAGCAAGGACCCAACAGCACAGGAGGGGGTGGGAAACGCCTCCCTCCTTCCTCCTCTCTCCTCTTTAAGAGGATCCTCCTCCCCCCTGGAGGTCTTCGGAGGCCGCAAGCGTCGAAAGGTCCACTGATGTCCCCAGAGATCCCGGGAAGACTCCGCGGAGGCCTCCGCAATCCATCAGGAGGCCTACGGGAGGCGAGAAAGGCAGAAGATCACGTTCAACATGCCCAAGATAATGCAGGCTATGATGAAAAAATCGCATGAAGATACATTGGGGATCTGAGAGCCAGCGGGCTTGTAGAACGTATCGCGCGCCCCAGAGCGCTCTGGAGCTTTCTTACAGTGCTCTGGAACGCCCTAGAGCGATTCGTCATCACCCTATAAGGGCCTCTCCCCCGCTCGGGTGTTCGTTAACAGGGGGGGCTAAGGGGGGCGAAGAAACGCGCAGCTTCCGTACGCCTTTTCGGGCCCTCGGTGGCAGCTTAGGGGGCCTGGAGGCCACCTTCCCACAATCCTCATCAATCCCCCGAACACTTCTGGTCAGGATTTCTTTGCACAGCGTGTCGCAGCGGCGGCACCTGCGACACGCTATGCCCCGCGAGCCGATATGAGCGTGTCGCCCTGCTTCGTGGGGGCGAGAGGTTGGAAAGCACAAGGGGGCACCGACGGTTGGGACCTGGGGCGTGCTGCGCGTGTCGCGCTGGAGCCGGCTTGGCCAGGACCGGCGGCGCGACCACGCGACACGACGACGCCTCCCCGCCACTGTGGCTCCCCCGTGGCCGCCCGCACGACCCTGCGGGCGCGGGCTCCGCCCCCGTAGCGGACCCGCCCCCAGCCGCCCGGCCGGGGCCCCCCGCGATGGCGGCTCCGGGGGGCGCTTCGTCGGGGCCGCTCCCCTGCGGCCCTCGATGCCCGCACGCTCTGAGCAGGGACCGGCCGTCCCGGCATTCCTATAGTCCTACCACGAAATGCTCTTTAGAACCCCAAAAATGCTTCATGAGCAAAAACACAGTTCTTAGATCATTAGCCCGATGTCTGAAAACGAGACAGCCTCCACCAGAACTCCAGACATGTTCACAGAACAGATCGTGCAAACCACAAAAAAGCTCGTAGAACATCCTTCGGTGGGCCTATGGACCAACCAGGACGCTTCGCCACTGCTGGAACGCTCGGCGCCCGCGCCGTCCGTTCGTCCGGCGCCGCCTCCTTGTCGGCCCTGGAGGTGGAGAGCCAGAGCGCCGCGGAGGACCCCGCCAGGGCGGGGAGGGGGGAGGAGGAGGAGGAGGAGGAGGAGGAGGAGGAGGAGGGAGGAAGGAGAGGAGGAGGAGGAAGAGGAGGAGGAGGAGGAGGAGGAGGAGGAGGAGGAGGAGGAGCCGTCCGCCCGGCCCGCGGGCGCGGGCCCCGTCCCGGTTGAGAATCCAGCCCCCGTCCGCCAGGATGGGGTACAGGCCGATCACGCCCTCGCCCCGCACGTGGTCGGGCCTCGGGCCGCCGCGCGGGGGGGCGCCTCCTCCTCCTCCTCCTCCTGCTCCTGCTCCTGCTCCTCCTCCTCCTCCTCCTCCTCCTCCTCCTCCTCCTTCCTCCACCTTCATCCTCCTTCCCCTTTCTCTGGCTCTTCCGTTCATAATGATATGATGGTTCTTGAGAGGAATGAGATAAGCGACAGGCTTAACCCCTCCCCGATTTTGTGCCCTGCCCGTTGAGTTCAACGGCCAGGCCCCCGCGCAGGCAACTGAGTGTTGCATCTGCCAGCGCGTGTGGCTCTTCGAGCTAGCAAGATGAAGGGGGTACAGATAAGTTTCATCCCCCCCAGGTCCTGCGAGGATGAGAGTGATAAGACATTGACCTGAATGGGTGAGAGCGAGCGAGAGCTCCTCCTCCTCCTCCTCCTCCTCCTCCTGCCTCCTGCCTCCTCCTCCTCCTCCTCCTCCCCTCCTCCCCTCCTCCTCTCCTCCCTCCTCCTCCTCCTCCTCTCCTCCTCTCTTCCTCCTCCTCCTCCTCCTCCTCCTCCTCCTCCTCCTCCTCCTCCTCCTATTTCCTTGCTCCTGTTCATTATTTCCATTAATTCCGTCCTCCGTTTCCTTCCTTCCGTCCTTCTTTTCTCATTCCTTCCTTCCTTCACTCCTTCCTTTCTTCCTTCCTTCCATCCTTCCTTCCTTCACCGCTCACGAGGCGGCCCTCTGTCAGGGCGCCCGCCCGGCTGGGCCGCCCCGCGCGGGCAACTGCACGCAATGCGAGCACCTGCACGCATCGCGGGCGGGCCACCTAGCGCCCAAATCGCGGCTGCACCCTCCCCGCGGCCAGGGGGGATGGCCAGTGGCGCCCAACGCTTGCGCGGGGGGGCCCTGCCTGCCAGCTCCTTACAGAAGAAGGGCCCCTCTGGCGGCCCACCCAGCACGGGGCTGGCGGAGTGCCGCTCGCAGGGTCGGCCCCGCCAACTCCGCTGGGGGCTCGTGCTTCTGCGCGGTGGGCAGATCGGCCAGATTGGCGTGGCTGCGGCTGCAGCTGCCCCGATCTGGTGCAGCGGATTGCCTGCTGCAGCGACAGAGCTGGTGACTGCCTCCGAGAGTCCGCAGACGGCGCGGCGCGTGGCGAGGCGAACGGGGGCCGCGCCCCGGGCAGGCAGGGCGGCGGTGGCGACGGCGACGGCGATGGCGACGGCGACCACGACTACGGCGACGGTGACGGCGGCGGCGGCGGCGACGGCGACAGCGACGGCGACGGCGACGGCGACAGCGACGGGGACGGGGACGGGGACGGGGACGGTAATGGCGACGGCGACGGCGACGGCGACGACGACGACAAACGGGGCGACGAAAGGGAGGGGGGACCAGCCCGGAGGGGGCCATGGGGACCTCCTCGTCCTCCTCTTTCTCCTCCCCCTGCTCTGCCTCATCCTCGTTTTCCCTCTCTCTTCCCTCTTTCCTCCTCCTCCCCCGCCTCCTCCTCATCATCATCGTCCTCCTCTTCCTCCACCTCCTCCTCCTCCTCCTCCTCCTCCTCCTCCTCGTCATCCACTTCAATTGTGCATCATCTCTACGGGCCGCGATACATCATCTGGTTTGTCTGGTTTGACACATCTCTGCGTTTGGCCATGCGCTATTTTCGCGCCCTCCTTTCCGCAAGGTGCACGACAGTCTGGGCCCGCATTAACATCCAGCGTTGAGGCCGATGCCTTGTCCACGGTTGCTATGTGGTGCTGCGCACCTGTATGCACTGGTCGTGCTCGGTGCCGATCGGCGCGGGTCATCGGCTGTTGGTTATTATGTGGTGGTTCCTTTGTGCCATTAACCGCTAAATGTCTTTAGATTTCCCCCCCCATGTCTCTCGGCACTGAATAGGACCTGTTCTAAAACCTCCTCCTCCTCCTCCTCCTCCTCCTCCTCCTCTTCCTCCTCCCCCTCCTCCTTCCTCAGTCCGCCCGTTTCCCTCCTCCCTCCGCATCATCCCCCTCCTCGTTCTCGTCCTCCTCATCCTCTTCCTCCCCGCCTCCTCCCCCTCCTCCTCCTCCCTCCCCTCCTCCTCCTCCTCCTCCTCCTCCTCCTCCTCCTCCTCCTCCTCCTCCTGCTCCTCCTCCTCTCCGTTGCTTTCTTTCTTTCGGCCGCATGCCGCCGCCGGTTCGCGCCAACGCGGGTTTCTCCCTGCAGACTGCGGGAAACTCGTTATTCAAACATATGATATAAACCTCACCCGACGGTCTGCCAGCGACTCAGCGAGTCCCGAAGCCTGCCACGGCAGGGCCGACGTGCTTGTCGCTGGACGCCCGTCGGGGGCGCGCTCTCTTGCCAGGTCCCCCCCCAGGGTCGAAGGACGGCGTTGGACCGAAGAGAGGGGGAGGAGGGGAGGGGGCGGGAGGGGGGGGGGCGGGGGGGCAGAGAGGGGGGAGGGCCAAGCTAGATGCGCTCGCGTCATATCTGACATCCTACCCCTCCCTCCCATCCCTTACCATGGCGTAGATCCCCTCTCTACTCGCACAGTCGGATGTCGAGCAGGACAATGATCCCGAAAGGGTACGCGATGCATTGTAGAGCACGGCATGGCATGGCGTAGAAGAGCACCGCAAAGCGTAGTATCAACCTAGCATTGCATTGCATGCCGTGGCATGGCACCGGAAATGACGCCAGCGCTGCAGCGGGAGCACGAGTCGAAACGAGCGGAAGCGCGGAAATGAGGCCAGCGCTGCAGCGGGAGCACGATTTGGAACGAGCGGAAGCACGGAAATGAGGCCAGCGCTGCAGCGGGAGCACGATTCGGAAAGAGCGGGGCCCGAAAATGAGGCCGGCGCCTCAGCGAGAGCACCATTTTGAAAAAAAATGCAAGCGAAAACCCAACTCCCCTGTGTAAAAAAACAGTACGCGGGGGGGGGGTCGAGCACTTTCAAACCGTCATCAGGGGAAGAGGGAGAGTAGTATTCATATTGAGTAATTGTGGAAGGGCAAGGGAAGGAAGGGGGGGGAGGGTGGGGAGGGGGCGCAGCAAACGGGCGACGACGACCCCCGACACCGACGGCACCGACGACGACGACGACAGCGCATCGCCCAGGCCCCCGCCGAGGGCCAGGCTGTCGTTCCGGGGAGCCCCCGGCGGCGGCCCGGCGGTCAGAAAATTGCATGGGGCAAGGTTCGGACATTTTCCCGGCGCCGCGCCCTTTCCGAGGGGGGCGGGCGCGGGAGGCTTCCCAGCCACCGCCAAGCGGAGGAGGAGGTCTCCCGTCGCCGCATCACGGAAGGCCTCCAGAGGGGGTGGTCCTCAACGGCTTGGAGCCCTTCGGCCCTCGCCCTGGGGAAGAAGGCAGGCCCATCTAGCAGCAGCCAGTCATTATCTACACCGGATGCAGAGCGGCAAGGGTGCCTGGGGCGTGCATTGGTGCGCCGGGCAACCGGGGCGGACCACGGACCTCTTCCACGCCCTGACGCGGGGCAGCGGGCCCAAGGTCTCGCAGAAACGCCTGACGGCCTCGTCTTTCTTGGTGCTCCCGTAGATCTCCAGGTAAACCACGCCAAGCTGGTTTGCTGCCCGGAGACGGGTATTCTCCTGCTTGGCGTGGGCAGCCTTCAGCTGTGCGGCCGCGCGGCACGCCACGGCGGCCCACTGTGCCGTTTGCGGTTTGGGCGAGGCTTTCTGGGCCCTCGTCTTCCTCTTCCTCGTCCTCCTCCGCCTCGTCCTCCTCCTCGTCCTCCTCCTCCTCCTAAATTCATCCTCCTTCATCTCCTCTTCTTCCTCCTCCTACTCTTCCTCCTCGTCCTCCTCCCCCTCCTCCTCAACGTCATCATCCCCCAAATCAGCATCATCGTCATCGTCTTCATATTTACCTCCATCTTCGTCATCATCATAATCAACTTCGCCATCATCGCCATACTCATCATTATCAAATGCCTCGTTGTTCCTATTCATACGCGTCACCCGCAGCAGCATCAGCATAAGCATCAGTATCATACAAATGATGAGAAGCATCGCCATTAACATCACCATGTACAGGCATTGCCATCAGCACATCACGATCGCCATTATGAGCAGCAACATCATCATCGTCATCATCGCATGCATCGTCACAACCGTCAGCAACATCAACAGCATCAGCATCAACATCACCATCATCGTCATCATCAGCAGCTTCAGCATCATCATCATCCTCATAAGCTTCATCATGATCGTCACTGGGGCGCATAAGTCGCCAGCATCCGTTGATACCTTTTGCCTTGGGCAGAGGCCAAGCGGGTCGCGCGCACGCGCTCGGAGCCTCCCTCCTCCCTCCTCCCCTTCTTCCTCCTCCAGCTCTACCTCGTTCTCATGTTCTTGTCAAGCTCTCTCTCTCTCCCTTTTAGTTCTTGCCTAAGCGCGCTGCCTCACGTGAAACGACACTCTCGGCCACCCACCGACAGAGACCAGCAGCGCGCAGGGGATGCTGCCGTTGCATTTGGGCACGCGGACCCGCCAGCTAGAGCACCTGGACCTGAAGCGGAAGCTGGTGAAGGACGCCGAGGGCGAGATCGCGCGCGCTGCTATCAGCCCTCGCGACGAGGAAGGAATGGAGCGCGCGAGGGCCCAGAGTCGTCCCGCGCATCTGCGCTGCCTGCCCCTCGGCGCGTGGGCCCGCATGGACGAGTGCGAGGGCGGACGCTCCTTTCTGCGAGCGGCTGGCAGTGCGCGCGAAAGGGGTCGACGTCTCGGACGCGGCGCCGGCGGGTCAGACGCCGAGCCCCTTCGAGTTCCGCAAGCACACGGTCACGCGCACGGACCATGCACCAGGGCGTCGTCATCAACACCCGGCACAAAGACGCTGACGACATGGGCGGCCTCTGGCTGCACTTGCACGTCGTGCTCTCCTGGGCGATGGCATCGGGCAACCTTCTCATGGTGAACGACCTTGGTCTTAAAAATTTTGTCCCGGTGGCCGCCGGCGGACCTGGCCGCGCGCCTTCGAACGTTCAGTGCCCGCGCTGACCCTTGCAGAAGGGCGGCGGAGAAGTTGGCGCACGAGCTCGGCCTCAACAAATTCCTGCGCGACTGATGGAGACGTTTGGCAGGGATGCCACAGGCGGCCGCATTTGTCGTCGTTGAGGCCTCACTCGCGCGGACCGCGACGCTTGCAACAGACGGCGACCAATCGCACCTGCAACCCGAAGAATTCCGATAGCGCGCGGCACTGTCCGATCCGGCGGCACTCGGCACTGTCACATCGCAGTGCGCAGGGAGCCGCGGCGCCGCGCAACGCATGGCGCTGCTTATGACTGCGATGCATTCCCTCCTTTGCTCCCCCCTTGCGGGGCAAATGCGTCGTGCACTTGAGTCGCTCAGCGCCACGCGCCGTGCACTGCTCCCGCGCGCGCCTTTCTGCTGTAGCGCAGGGCGCTGTTCTACCCCGCGAACGAACGTAGCGCGCAGCGCTGTTACTTTCACCGGCTGTTTCTCTTGTCCATCTTCCTCCGCCTGCTTCTGCGTCTGCCCCTCTTCGATGAAATTCCGCGAATTTCTAGGAACCCTTGCCGCCGCGCCATTTTGCTTCCTATGTTGTGCGCCGCGTGTCTTTAATTCCACTTATGAGTGCGTATGTCTGCTTTCTTTGTCGCGTGCTTTTGCTTCCAATGTTTGGCTATTTTTGTGTAACCTCGCAGCCGCGCCCTTTTGATGTCATTTTCTGGTTTTTCGTTGCTTTCGTTTGGGCGCCGTTGTTTCCACTTTAGGCGTGATTATTACCGCGCCCTCTTGTGTCCGCTTGCGAGTGCTTCTGTTTACCGTCGCTGCGCGGTACTGGTATCCACTTTGGGGTGCTTGGTTTTTCTATCGGTGCGGCGCCCTGTTGTTTCCATGTTTGGTTGCTTCGGGGTACAATTCTCGCTGCCGCCCCAAGTTTACGTCCTGTCCTGTTTCTTCACGTTTTCGCTGCCGCGCCCTGTTGGCACCTTCGTGTGCTTCAATATTATCGTTCCTCTCGCTGCCGCGCCCTTTTGTTTCCGCTGCTTGAGGTATGCCCTCGCTTAGGCCGCCGCGCATTGTTGTTTCCATTATCGGACGCTTGTCCTCTCCTCGTCCGTGTTGCCTCGCATGCTAAATTTTATGTTAACGCGTAGGTGATTCCAAGCACTGCGGGCCTGGAATGCTGAGACACACTTTCGTCGTAATGTCGTAATCCAAAAAGGTCGGCTACGTCAGTGGGCAATGCAGTTTCTCATGCTCGCTTGGTGGCCAGTGGAGCGACACTCTCAGCCGAAGACCCCGACCGCATCCCAGCTATCCACAGGCCGTCGCCGCGGGGGAGAAGGAGGAGGAGGACGCGGAGGAGGAGGAGGAGGAAGAAGAAGAGGAGGAGCGAGATGAGGAGGAGGAAGAGGAGGAGGAGGAGGAGGACGACGAGGAGGAGGAAGAGGAGGGGGAGGAGGAGGAGGAGGAGGAGGAGGAGGAGGAGGAGGAGGAGGAGGAGGGAGAGGAGGAGGAGGAGGACGAGGAGGAGCAGCAGCCGAGGCGCACGCTCGCGCCCCTCCTCCTGGATCTCCCAGTGCCGCTCGGACAGCTGGCAGGTCTCGAACCTGGCGGGCCCACGGAGCACGGGCTTTAGCGGGCTGGCCGGCTGGCAGGCAGGGGCACGAGGAGGCGCTGCCTTGCGATCTCACGTGGCGACCCATCTTCCTGCTGCGTGTGTCGAGGCGGAACGATCTGCCAGGGCCCTGGGGCCCGAAACCGGAGGACAACGCTCGGCAAGACAACCAAATGCAGCGCCCGGATCTGAGGGAGAGGGGGGTGAGTGACTTGAGAGCAGTGGAAGGACAAACTGCATCGAGGAGGAGGAGCAGCAAGTGGAAGGGGGGAAGGGGGGAGGGGAAGGGGAGGGGGAGGAGGAGGAGGAGGCGGAGGAGGAGGGGGAGGAGGAGGAGCAGGAGGAGGAGGAGGAGGAGGAAGAGGAGGAGGAAGAGGAGGAGGAAGAGGAGGAGGGGGAGAAAAAGGAACAGCAGGAACAGAAGCCGTAGGAACAGGAGAAGCAGGAGGAGCAGGAGGAGCAGGAGGAGCAGGAGGATCAGGAGGAGCAAGAGGGGGAGGGAGGACCAGCAGCATCAGGAGGGTTACCAAGCCCGCTATAGACTTAAAGGGTACCGAGGCCCATTTTTCGAGATGATGCTGTCACCAGCGAAATTGGAGACTCTTGAACAGTTTACGGGAATCAACAGTGGGACGACAACGGGCCACATCCTGAAGGTAACTGGGATGGCCGAAACCAAATGTAAGTGGCCGCGGTGGCGTTTGTCCGTTCGTGGTGCCGGTGGCCGTAGTGGAGCGAACCCACGGAGAGGATGTAAGTCCTGATGTCCCAACATGACATTTCGGCCACGCCATGAAAACCCCAGGGAGATGGGCGCCCCCAAATGCCCGAGCAACACCTGTGGTTTCCGCTCCTGCGGGTGACCCAGTCCGGGGAGGGCTTACCCCAACGCGTCTCACCCCCAATGACTCCCGCGTTTCCTGTGATGCGCGCGCGTCGGCGACGTCAAGACGAGTTCTCAGTGGGCTGGGGCCCCCGCAGGCCCAGGGCAGGGCGGGGACAGGAAGGTCTCACTGAGCCTCCTCCTACTCCGCCTCGTCGGTGACGTCCTCCTGGAGTCCTCCTCCTCCTCCTCCTCCTCCTCCTCCTCCTCCTCCTCCTCCTCCAACTCGTCGACCTCCTCGACCTCCCCTTCCTCGACCCCCTCCTCCTCCTTCTCCTCGTTTTCCTCCTCCTCCTCCTCCTCCTCCTCCTCCTCCTCCTCCACCGCCTCCTCCTCCTCCTCCTCCTCCTCCTCCTCCTCCTCCTCATTATTCCTCTGTCATGAAACTGTCCACCCCACTGTCGAGAATAACCCCCTCGTCCCCGGAGCCCCTTCCCCCTTCTTCCGAGCGAAAAGCCCTCTCCCAAATCCTCGCCCCTCTTTCGGAAAGGAAAGGTCGCACTCCCCCCCCGCGTCGTCGTCGCCGTCGCCGCCGCCGTCGAGTCGGCGTCGTCGTCGTCGTCGTCGTCGTCGTGTCGCCACCGCCGCCGTCGTGCGTCGTCGTTTTGCCTCTCCTCCTCCTCCTCCTCTTCCTCCTCTCCTCCTCCACCTCCTCTTCTTCTTCTCTTATCTTCTTCTTCTTATATTATTCTTCTTTCTTTTCTCTTATTCTTCTTCTTCTTCTTATTCTTCTTATTCTTCTTCTGCTTCTTCTTTCCTTCTTCTTATCTTATTCTCCTCTTCTTATTATTAATTCTTATTCTTCTTCTTCTCTTCTCTTCTTCTTCCTCCTCCTCCTCCTCCTCCTCCTCCTCCTCCTCCTCCTCCTCCTCCTCTCCTCCTCCTACCTCCTCCTCCTCCTCCTCCTCCTCCTCCTCCTCCTCATCCTCCTCCCCCTCCTCCTCCTCCTCCTCCTCCTCCTCCTCCGAAAGCAGACCCGATGTAGGCCTGGGCGGTTTTGGTTTTTTTTCTAGAAGAAGCAAGGCGCCGACAAAATCTGCTCGTGAACAGTCGCAGCCTGCGCCTTCTGCACATGGGCGGGCTGCGGAGAAGCAAGGCGCCGACAAAACTGCACGCGAGAGGTCGCAGCCTGCGCCTTCTGCACATGGGCGGGCTGCGCGCTCTGATTTGGCGACTTAATGCATGCAGCCTCTCTCCCTGCGAACAGACTGGCCAAACTCCTGGAGCAGGTCGTTGCCTGACCTCCGCATGCGCCACACCCAAGCCCACAAGTACGAGCGGCAACGCTCCCAGTCTGAAGTGTGGACGCTGTCTGGGATGCTGTCGCGCATCTCAGGCCAGAGGCCATCGCAACACTGCGTGCCTTTTTTCAAATGAAGAGTCTCGGTGCGCCCGTTCGGGCGCACGACGCGCACGCGGTCGACGACGGCCCACTGTTCTGCATCGTGAGAAACTATGCCGTGCGATAGCTTCAGATGCTTATAATGCAGCTTGAAGCGGTCAGCATTGAAACGAGGAGGGTCTTTGCTCTTGTCGCTGTAAGCAGCACGGCTTTTCGGTGCTACGGACTGGTACGCGCCCGCGCCATCCGTCAAAAGCGTGAAATTGCCAGGCACGAGAACCCAAGAGAGGATCTCGTCGCACTCGGGCCCACTGAGTGAAACGCCGCTTCCCCCAGCGGCGCAGGTCCGCTGGGGCAGCTCGAAAAACATCGCCAGTTGGCGCTGTCCCCGAGGACACACGCACATGAATCGGTGATGTAATATGCGGTAACGCCCAAAAGGGTGCTCGCCGCACGTCGTATCACAACAATCTCGCGGGCAAGTCACGCGGCAAGCGCGCATTGACGCCTCGTCGGCCTCAACGAGGCACCCGCGAGGCCACACAAAGTCGTCCTGCTCAGCCTTGGCAACGCGGGCGCAGATGGACCGCACGACACTAGTGATGCGCTGGGCTGCATTCTTCGATATCCCCACCTGCACAGCCATTTCGTCCGACGACTCGTAGCCCGAGGCATGCTGGGTTGCTGCATGGGCGATGGCGAGGAGGGTGCGGGTGGTGTTCACGGAGCCCTTGTTGAACAACTCCTTCAGAGGGCCCTTCGGGTCGAGGTTCGACTCGCGCCTCTTGATGGGCGAACAACGCACGCCCATGCCCGTACAACGCGCACCCATGGGCTCCCCCTCCCCACCCTCCGTCTATCCCGTGGGTATGGGCGTGCTTTGTTCGCTCATCGCCTCTGGCAATCCCAATTGGAACAGCGCCAAATCGGATAATCCATTTGAGGTATGCTGAAGCCCGCCACCTGGATGTCCTTGTCCGACTGGCCGCCCCGAAGCTTCAACTCCATTGTGCCGCACTGGCACGCCGTGCACTCGCCCCCCAGATCTGGTAGCACCCCGATCTCTATCATGATACGCGCGAGGAGCTCGGGACTGATGCGCGCCATGTCGACCACGGCGATCCTCTTGGATATAGGTAGCGCGGCGAGAGAAGGGCGATCAGCTTGTTTCTGATTCGGAGGAATGTAGGATGGACCAGGAGCCTCTTTTTTAGTTGCCGCCCTACCCTTCTTCATCATCGACTTCTTGCTGATGCGGCTCCCCTTCGTCAACGACACCCTGCGAATGCCAGACAACTTCTTAGAATGGAGAGTCGCGCAAGCGGGCTTCCGTTTCAACGAAGCCTGCTGCACGCGGTGCGCACGCTTGTGCTTGTCCGCCTGGGAGGCCTTGCCACCATGAGGCATGATTGACGAGGCGAACGGCAATGGGAGTGGCGAGGCTGCAATCCAAAGCCAAAGTTTGAACCAAAGTGCTACGGACCGAACACCATGATCGGCAAACACATGGACTACAATTGCGACCGCGCGCAGTCGCAACTTTGACCGCGGCAAAAGTAAACAAGCGTTGTTGGCCTTTTTTCAGTAGAGCATGGCCATCGCAACGCCCTGCCCCGTTCACAGGCGCTGCCCCCCGTCCCCGATATGCACAAATTAGGTCTCGTGTGTCCCCGACGGCGCCTGCACGGTTGCGCCTCGCTGGGGGCGAGGGTCGGGGAATCATCATGCGCACTGCTGCATCGTGCGCATCGCCATCACGGCGGAGGCGGCGAAGGCGCAGCGCTGGCGCCGCCTACTGCCTACTCAGGCACCCCGAACCTGCCACCAATTGCATTCCTCGGCACGCACGCCCTCAGGCATGATATGCCACGAGACGTGGCCCGCGTGGCAGGCGCGCACATCACCGTCGAACACGATGAATCCTCCGAGGAAGACGAGAACGGCCACGGCGTGCCCCGTCACCCCAGGCGCAGAGGCGTACGTTGCGATGTAGCGGCCTGTGGGCACGGCGCAAGCTCCGCGGATGGACGCACGGGCGATCACGCACCCGTCTCCAGCGATCATGGCCTCGGCATCGTTGATGCTGAACGGCCCATCCTGGGTGTACGGAACGTTGAATCCGAGGGCGTTCAGGGCGTCGACCATGCAACAGTTCTTGAAACCTGCACCGAAGAGGCCGTCGCCCGTGCCATGGGGCGCCTCTTCGTCGCTGTCATCGATGATCAGCGGCGGGCCGCCCGAGGGCGCCAGTTTGGCGAACCACGACGTGCTTCACTTTTACCACGTTGTCGATGTCTCTCAGTGGCATGTCTCGGAGACGATAGCAACCAGGCGGGTCTGATTCGAAGCGCGTGGGCTTCTCGAGCCGACTGTACGGGTTCAGAGTGCCCATGCAGCCCCAGGCCTGCGCGACCTGCTCGGTGGCGGACTCGCCCCCCGCGATCATCTCTCCCAGAGACTTGACGCCCCCCGCCACGAGGTTCGCCATGATCGCAACGAGACGCGATGCAACGTTGACTGCGAGGCGCACCTGTGGTCTTGAGCCAACGCAAAGCTGCGGGCTACAGCAATGGGAAAAGATAACGGACTGGGGCATCCAAAATCTGGATCCCCCCAATCAGCGGGCTCTCTCTCTCTCTCTCTCTCTCTCTCTGTCGCTGTCGCCGTCCCTGTCTCTTTCTCTGTCTCTGTCTTTGTCTCTGTGTCTGCTCTCTCTCTCTCTCTCTCTCTTTCTCTCTCTCTCTCTCTCTCTCTGTCTCTCTCTCTCT